GAATCAATTCACAAGGCTGTGAAAAAAAACATTCCACTACTGATGAGCTGCATAGCTATTATTGTTTGTAATGTATTGCAGTAGCTTGTCATATGTTTTGCATGAGTTACTGCCTCAGTGGTCTTTGCTGCCTGATTACCACACAGAAAGACACTTATTCCTGAAGGCAAGAATAGCTCAAAAAGCCTGAACATCATTAAAAAATGATAGTTGGCTGGAGTTGTGAGGACAAAAAAAAAAAAGCCTTTTCATATAGTGGTGTTATGAACTCCAAGAGGAGAAAGAAGCCTGGTGAATAAGGAGGGACAGAGCCAGAGACAAGTGGTATTACTCTACTTAGTGTCTAGACAACGCTGTGTAACTTCAGTCTGTCTTGTCTCAGCCTCATGACTGTATCTGTATGTCGTGTGTCATTGTGTTTAGTGAAACTATGTCATGAATGCACACTAAAAATACACAATTATATGAAATGTGGAATTTATTTGTACTGAGTTATTATTTATATATATATATACACACACTATTATGTGAAACAGATCTATGCAGGGATGCCATCAAGAGACATCTCTGCAGCTCTTATACTTGGTTAAATTGTTTGTTTGATTTGGACTGAAAGGAAGCAGAGCAAGCAGTCAAGAGTGGCAGATGAGTGTGGTGGGAGGGTCAGGTAAGAGGAGGAGGAGGAGGAGGGAAAAGACAGAGCCACTGGGCTTGACTGTACTTGCCAGCACATTTGGGGAAAAGCTCTGAGAGCACAGCCTTATACAGACATTTCCAAGAGAGCATGTGCCCCAGCCCGTGCATTGCGGTTTCCTGTTAACCCCTCACTGACCAAAGAACCACAGAGCGATGAGGAACTCACCCTGGCTGTAATAATGATGACTGAAGACAGACTGGGTTCCCTTTTTGAGTGCGTTTCTAGGTATACAAGTGATTTGCATTTCATCCTGCTGGTCATTTTCATGTGCTGAAGTGATGTAGTCCTTTGCCTGAGGTGTTTTAAAGGATGGTGACTCAAATCCCTCCCAGAGCATCAGCCAGTGACCTATTTGTGCTTAATAGAAAACCTCTTAAGTCAACCGGTCACTTAGTTAGCTTAGATCCACAGTCAGGGTCAGTGTCCTCACCAGAGGACTGGTGGTCTTTGTCCGAGGAAGGACAGGAACAGATTGTTTATGGCCGTGCCTGTCATCATTTATTCCAGTACTAAAACACAGTGCAGTCAAACCTAGGTGTGAGTCTTCTGCCGCAGGTTAGACCCAGTGGGCCGGGTCAACACATGGACACAAATGTTTGCAGGTTGACAGGTGTGTGGGTGTGTGCAAGTCCCTTTCTTTATACGCGTGTGCCGCACGCTTTTAGAGTTTCAGTGTCCGTGGTTCTATCAATAATGCAGTTGCTCACTCTCAATCTCACTCCTGAGCCCTTGCTTTCTCTGCCATTAAATATGCATCCATTTCCCAGGCCGGAGTCTCTGTCCCCTCCCACTTCCCATAAGCCCTCTCTGCCAAACACATCAACGGCATGCTTGATGCAGATGAAATCAGCGGATGCTACAACGCATGCAGTACCAGTCATAGGTGGTTTTCACCTGCTTGATGTGACCAATGGGCAGGCTTGTGCCTGCTGAAGGTTTTGAGGCCACAGTAAAAGTTTTGACCTTTGCCAGTGTACCTTATCTCCCTTGTAAAAACCCTTCCTTTATAAGCTGTTTTCAAAATGTTGTTCAGTTAGTTCCCTCTGTGTAGTCTTAGTTCCCTTTCATTCCTGCTCATTCGCTAAAAAAAATGCATTACGTACAGACAGACAGACATTTTATAGAAAGGCCCTCTGAAAATAGTTTTTAAAAGAATTTTGACTGAGATATTCTGTATACTAAGTGGGACATTGATTTTGCATTGAACTTGAAAATGAACTTGTTAGTGCTATTTGGTGGACAAATTATGTGGTGGCACTACTCTAAATGATCTTAAGCATATCTTTGCCAGGTCTGTGATTTTTGTCAGCTGATGTGTGCACAGATGCAATAGATCTGCAGTAAGCTAATATCCCCAGTATATTTGCCTGACCAATTTGTTAGTCTACCTCCATTTAGTGTAGACTGATCCACCTCTTTACAGCATAAATACAACATACACCATCAGGAACCTCAGAGTCTGAAAAATGAAAAACTAACTTCTATTGCTGAGGTTCCTCTGTCAACCAGTTTAATCCCAAATGTCACCACTATTTCTTTGTTACTAATTTTTTCTAGTAGTGGTCCTGTCTCACTTGTCACTATTAACCTGTTCATTGTCTAAGGTGAGATCTGACCTAGTTACAGGTCCCTCAAATGATGGGTTTTCTGCCTGAAAGTTTCTCCTGAAATGAGGAATGTTCTAATTTGACGATTTAAAAATTCAGACACACAAATTAGCTGATCTTGTTAGATACATAGCTATATATGCACCTATATAATATAGGTAACGTGCAAGACATCTGCAAAAATCTCTCTAGCCATGGAGCAGAGGAGAGAACGTAACCATGAAAATCTGGACTAACATTCACCATGGGCACTATTATAATATGACGTGTGCCAAAAAAACACAATCACAGGAAGATGTTTGAAGTTTATGTAATACATTTTTCTGTGACTGACACCCAAAGCTATCTGATATGTTGTGAAATTGTAACCTGCCTCTGTTTGTTACACAGACAGATTACAGTTCAGTTTAAGAAGTCACTCACTGTTTCTAACAGGAATCCTAAACACCTCATCATTCATCAAAACTTACATATTTCCTTATTATTCTCTCATTCATTTGGCCTCATTGTCAGCAGTGAAACAAAAATATAATTTCCAATTAATATACACTCAATTTAAATGTTATCAACTTGTAGGAAAATATAGGGTGTGTATTTGTTTGTGTGTGCACATTGATTGTTCAGGCTGTGGCAGTCCTTATTAGGCAGTGCTGGCAGCAGGAAGTAGGTTGTGGCTTTGGTGCTGTGTCACAGGAAGCAGCAGATTGTATCATGGGTAGGACAGATGGAGGGAGAGGTGGAGGAGATGGATTAGGGGACTATAGGGAGAGCATGGGGGAGTAAATAAGGAGAGGAGGGGGTAGGAATGGTTAAAAAATTTGAATTGACAAGCCACCCCAGCCACCTTTTGTTCCTCTGTGTCCTCCATCAACTGTACTCACTATTAAATGTATTTATTATATGTTTGGTTTTTCCAAAGTTACCTTGTTTTTTTTTTTTTTGGTGGGACACATGCATGAACATTATCTGTTTAGATTTCAAGGCTGATCAGTGCAATAATAAATTGTAAACAAATGTTAACATATTTTATAACCTTAATTTATCTATTTCAAGTCAGAATATGTAACATGTAGTGGGCCCTGGATAGATAAATGAATGATATGACTGATTTAGTTAAATGTTATCCAGATTACTTTACTCTTATTCCAGTTTGTATATGTATGGGCTATGGCATTCTTTTCTCCAAAGAAACTGATCTGCAGATCTCAGCGTCTCGCATGCAAACATGCGCGCACTCTGCAGGCTCTAGCACTGCTAACTAAACTAGACATTCCTGAATGTGTTGTTACCTGTGCGTATTCTGCCTGAGTGTAACTATAAATAAATGTTTTGTCACTGATCTCAAAGCACATGTGGGTGTTTTTTTTCTTCTTACAAAGTGAGCTGAAGTTGAGGTTGATGTGGAGCAGGTGGAAGATTCCAGAGCCTTGCTTTGCCTCTTTGGCGGAGTTTGGCACAACTTCCTGTCTTTGTCAGGCTCCATTGTTGTCTCGCCTCCCCATCTTGTTTGGGATCAAACTAATCTCTTTCTCTTTTCACATCAACACTTTGCTGCTTTCTTTCTCTTGGTCTTTCACTTCCTACCTCATGTATATGTGTCAAAACATGGTGTTTTCTCTTTGCTACTCTTATCCTCGTCTTTGTAAAGGCAGGAAACACTTGAATTACTGTCATGATATCTCCAGAAAGTTTGATGTACTTCTCTGACTGACATCTTGTCAGAAACTTCACCATCAGCAAAACACAAAACATCTATTATTTGCTGTGTCATAATACTGTATGTTAGCATCCTGTATCTTGATAACGTGGGTTAGACGAGATGAAGCCCGACTAGTCTCAGATCTGGCTCTCATCTCTAAAATGGTTTGTTTATAATGGAGTGTGTTTTGATCCGTTTGTCCATCCGGTGTCTCCAGTTCCTCCTCACCTCCCCTTGTGTTTGCCTCTTCCCTTCCAGCTGCAGTCCACACCACATACCATCATTTGATAGTATTTCAAACTGGTAAAATAATGATAATGAATATATCTTATGTCCAGATTAAAGATAAAAAAACAAAAAAAACAGGTTTTACATTATATTATTTAGCTTGTAATATGATGTGTCATTTGTCATTAAATTATGTATTGTGATAGTAAAATAGCTGTATTTTATACTTACACATGAGTGTAAAGTTGTTGGATTCACCGAAGTTGAAGTTAAAGAACATTACATGACATTACTTGTCACACATGGCACAGGCAAAATGGATAAGAAACATGAGTCTTTGTCAGCATCTCACAGATATATCCACAAATATCTATTCAATCTCAGGGCTGTCGCCAGAAAAAATATACCAAATCTCTGTGGTAACGGCCACCAAGATTGCTTGATCATTCATTTGTTGACTGAGTGTGCAGTCACTATCACAAACCTATGTGGTTATATTTTTGTGGCTATACTTGCATCTCGCAGTTGCCAGTAGTCTCTGCTCTGAGATGCAAGCTTTATGCTGCAAGTAGATATGTTGTCTTGTGCAGGCGTGGACAAGCACGGGAAATGATGCACCCTTTAAAGCCTTTATACATATAATGTGATTTTTGTTGGTGCTGTTTTTGGTAAAATACAGACTCAAATCTTACTTTAACTGACTGCATCCTGAGCGAGATCCTTGTACACTGAAGGAAATTGATGTAGTCTCTTTCCGTCTCTCTTCCAGTGAGTCCAGTATTTGCCAGGCTCGGGCCACTGTGATGATCTATGACGATGGCAATAAGAAGTGGCTTCCGGCGGGCGCTGGAGCCCAGACCTTCAGCAGAGTCCAGATCTATCACAACCCCTCCAACAATGCCTTCAGGATAGTGGGACGCAAGATGCAGACAGACCAGCAGGTAAATCTGCCAGCTCTGGGCATGCTGTGTGTCTGACAGACTGTGTGTGTTTTGAGTGTGTGTGTGTGTCTGAGTGACTTTGCCTCTGGAAGTGTGAGTGTATGTGGTTGTCTGTACCTCATTCATCTGTCTCTGTCAGGCGGCCCGTGGGCGTCTGTGGACTCCTATGGGTGTATGAGTAAGCTCGTAGGTGTGAGACAGTCTATCTTTGTATGTTCCCATTCATCCACATTATCACTAGCTATTTGATACTATGCACTAGGGCTTGGTGATTATATTGAGAATATTTACTGCATACACTGTAATTTTATCAGTTATATTATTGTCAATCGCTCTATAGTTTTATTGCTTTTTATGTGCATTCATGGTCAATTATTTACTTTGATGCATTGCTTATTATAACTGTGTCAGGAGACTAAATGTCTTGCCAGTACAGAGTTCAGGCTGTGGCCTGCTGTACATTTACAACAGAGTTCAGTTTCAGCAGGGCCAAGAAGGCATCACCTTTACAGGCCTGTTTCAATTCATTTGATCATAATTTAGGAAGTTGGGAGAGTGAGAGAGGTTAAGGCGTGTCCCTCCCTTGCTGAAATTTCTTAAAATGACAGTACGCTTGTATGGTTTTGTCAGCACTGGTTGTTACTCCCACTGTTTTGTGCTTTGGGAATGAAAGAACATATAAATAATAGCTCTATAGATGTTCTAGAAGAAGCTGGAAGACACAAACAACTACTCTGATTGTGTACAACTTGCTGTGATAATTTCAAGTGTTGGGCATTTTTAACTTTACAGTAATTTGCAGCCATTTAGCCAATACCTGGTTTCATAGAGTTCTGCCTTGTTGTCATTTACATCACTGGGGAAAAAAAACAGATTACAGTAATTTGAATTTAAGATTATGTTTTCATTATTTTTTGGTACTGGTCTCAAGAATATTGAGATTGTTATCAAGAAAAAATACATTTGAAAAGCCGTTTTCTGAAAAAATACATGGATATCAAGATGTATATAGTATAATATAATTAAAATATCAAGATAATATTTTTAGTCATATTCCCCTTGAATTAGCAATGGTCTTAAGGATGTACACACATTGCTTAACCCCTCATATGGACTAGCAGCGGATACAGATTAAGACACACAAGCTGAACATTTGTGGAACATGTAGTTTTAAATTTGGGCACGATGTTGGCATTAATGGAAAGGAAAACCAAGATGGTTTCCTTGGTGTTATCTTCAGATTATGACTCACTAGTTCTCAGCAGATAAAGGTGGGCAGGTTCTAAATTAAAGAGCTGGGTAAACTGAGTTTGGGTGGGTCTATTGTTGACTACCCTCCTCCTCTCCCTGCTGCATCAGCGTCTCTCTCCTTCTTTAAACATTCACGACTCTAAAGTGTTCCCCAGAGACTGGTCTTAAAGTGGATGATGTTTCCTGCGAGATAGTTAGCCTGTTCAGACATTTCCTGTGACAATTTAGGGAAAAGCCTGATACCCAATAAGGACCCTATATTTGTGTCTGATGAAGACTTGGTTTAGGATGTTGGGGAATGAGAGCAGCATGAAGCTGATGAGAGAGAATGTAGGGTGGCTGTATTTCCCTCTACGTCCATGTTCTCCCCTTTTCCTCCTGTTCTTATTGTCTGCATATAGAGTAACTTTTTGATGATATTATGCTTGTCTCTTCAATTTCTTTTACGCATCCTGGTGTGACTGGATGATTAAACTTCACTGAAAACACAAGTGGAACCGTGGCATTAAGGTCTTTCTGCAGGCGTTCAGGCTTTTTGAACATGTTGCTTTCTTTCACTTCAAAAAGATGCCAAAGCTCCTCCTTTTATCCTGATTTTTTAAATGTGCTTCTGGTTACATCCTCAGTATTTTTGTGGAGAATTTAGTAATATCAGTCTGCAGTGGCAGCTGAACTTGCTATCCTCTCTTTTCAGTGCATGTTGATCGCTCCGATATTCACCCTGACAGGGTCTCCTCTCCTCCTGTCTGCTCTGTGGAATCCAGAGGCTGTTAAACAAATAGTGAAATGGTGCGTCAGCACATTCAAGCAACGCTCAAATCCAGAACATTTTTTTTTCTTCCCGGTTCATAGGCTTCACGCCACCTGCTGGGTGGAATACAAACTAGGATAATTTATGCTCAAGCAGGGATGTGGGTTTTTTTAGGTAGTTTTAAATCGTTTTTCCAGTTTTTCTAGTGAGGGATCCACCTCCTGGGGGTTTTTTTTGGAGGGTATTTATTCTAAACTTCTGACCAGCAGTTTTTGGTTCGGTTTAATATTTTCAAATCTGATCTTTAGAACTGTCATCATTTGTGTGAATAAAGACAAAAAGCCACAGGAGCACTCATCCCAAAAGGATCCCTGTATTGACCATCTGTCCCCTTCCTTCCCCAGGTGGTTATAAATTGTCCAATTGTGAGAGGTCTCAAGTATAATCAGGCCACACCCAATTTCCACCAGTGGCGGGATGCCCGGCAGGTGTGGGGGCTCAACTTTGGCAGCAAGGAGGATGCTACTCTATTTGCCAATTGCATGGCTCACGCTCTGGAGGTGCTCAACTCCATGGCAGACGCAGGTAAATGAGTTCTCATTAGATTCCCTGTCACATCAACATTCGTAGCTATGTCATGGATTTTGCTGTTTGGTCACCACAGATTGGGCCTCATTCATCAAAAACTTTCTACATACAGATTTATCTTATGCACAAATTAGGAACTTTTTGGTATCTATCTATCTATCTATCTATCTATCTATCTATCTATCTATCTATCTATCTATCTATCTATCTATCTATCTATCTCTCTCTCTCTCTCTCTCTCTCTCTCTCTCTCTCTCTCTCTCTCTCTCTCTCTCTCTCTCTCTCTCTCTCTCTTTCTTTCTTGAGCATTTAATTATGACACATTTCCTGGAAAGTGCGTCCAATCTTACTCACCAAGACTTTCACATGAGAAAAACAAACAAATGGTCTGAGAAAATAAGAGGACATGATGCATTAGCAAGGCCCATCCTGTTGTGTCTATGTGAAAAATGTGCTGTATTTTGTCTTTTAAAAAGTACTGTGCTGTGTCTTTGCTGGGTCTCGCTGTTACACAAGATTGGTACCTTTTTTCCCATGCAGTTGAATTTTTTCACTCAGATCATATACAACAATAGTTTTCTAAGGTAATATAAACCTCTACTCCCTCTCTATTACTGATGTCCTCTCATATTGACTGTTGATCATACGACTTGTTGATATTCTGCCCAGATCCATGTCTCATCTTATTGCAGTGTTTTCTGCATAATTAAAACCCTTCTTTGCAAAAATGTGATTGTAACTAGCTGTACCAATTGTTGTGTGGTACTTTTAATTTATTTTTCATAGTTTATCTATTTTATCCCAACCTTCTGAGTCTTTGATTCTGTTTGTTTACACCATGCTGGCAATTTATTTAAATCTGATCCTGCTTTGCTCTTGAACCATGAACGAAATGGAGAAAATACTGTACTCCAATAGCCTTGGTACAATGTGGCAAACCCAGTGCAATGAAGGACCATGAAATGCTGTAGCTGTGGGCTCAGTAGCCTAATGGTTAAGGCACATATCTGCATAACTGCAATGTCCATGGTTCAAATCCCTGCCAGGGGATTTGACCCATGGCCGGGGGACTCTTGTTGCATGTCATACCCCTGTCTGTATCTCTACTACTGATTTCAAATGCAGGTAAAAAAAAAAAATCTTAAAAAAAGACTATAAAATGCCTTAAAGGTCTGGTCCTTGGTTGGGCACACCACACATTTATGTTCCTCTGTCACATCATGGCTGTCTACACAGTCCTCAGATTATATACACTGAAATGCATGTATAGAGAAGATAATGTTTAGCAATAAAAGCACATAAATTGAGAGGTTGTTTGAAAGCGGTTAAACCCATTTACAATAATTTCTAATCCCTTGTTCTTTAATTTTTTTTTTGTATTAAGGATATTTCCTCTGTTGTGTTTTGGCAGGCTATGCAACCCTCCCACGCCCGGTGTCAAATGGTCCGTCTCCAGAAGAGCTTGAACAACAGCGGAGGTACCTTCAGGCATCCTCTAAATGAAATGCTTCCAACCTGTATTTTTACTTATTTTAATTCTAATGACCCCCTAGCCACATGCTTTTGTGAGTCCTCTTGGATGTCCTGTGGACCAGAGAAAAGCAATGTCAGCAATTGTTTAACAAGTAGATTTTCTTTGGAAGCAAGTGGTTTTACCATTTAGACAACTTGGCTGTTCTGTGAGGCCGTGTGAAGTTTACATTCCCAGCAGGAGCAAACTATCCTCTGGGTTTAGTTGCATAACAATCAATAGCAAGTCAAGCTGTCTTGGCTTTGCAGTAGTCCTGTTGGCACGGTTTTGCACACACGCATATGTAGAGGATTTGATGGCATTAGCCTGACACAGCTAAACCCTCAGCCAGCCCCTGTATGTTAAAGGTTAAAAAGGCAGCGAGGCAGACACTTCCCAGATCAACCCCACCTTCTCCCCATCCATCTATCTGTTCCTCCAGCATTCAGAACTGCTGCGGTGACACCACGCATGCCTGCATAGACTAGGTATTAACCTTTTAATCTTATTTAGACTAAAAGGTAATATGTTGCACAGTCAGGCAGGCTTTGTGATTGGTCCGAGGGACTGTCTGTCAAGTTACTAGCTGCTGCTGACATACTGTGGCTGAGGGAGCCATTAAAACCTTTGAAATCCGGCATAGATAATGGTGTTAGCAGAAATTTTTTGCATGAATGCTTTTAGTTCCGATGACAGTACTCATTAGTATTACATTGTTGTAAGAAAATCAAGAAAAATGAGACCTGATCTGGCCTACCCATTTCCTGAGCTCACTCGCCTAAGCTTTAAATCACAGCGACTCTTGACTTTTTGTGTGTATGATTGCGCTCATATGTGTAGACCTGTGCTAATTTGAGTGGGTGCATGAGTACATTGTATGTGTGATGTTCTGTATACAGCTGTTGTGAGTGGCAGATGTGTTGGGGGAGAGGCGAGGGAGCAGTAGTGAACAGAAGCAGCTCGAATTAGGCCACCATGTCCAGCTGTGGACTTTTCAGTAGTAGGCTAATCAGAAGCCATGAATTTCAACTCTCATCTTTTTTTGTATCAAAGTTGGCATATTGAATACAAATCCTGATTTTTATCTCTCCACACAAACACCAAATACTCCATTTAATTAGACAGAATTCTTCGAAAACAATGGCTGCATAAATGATCCAATAAACTGCGGGACTTTTTACACATTCAATTGGGGATGGCTACAAGAGCATGTTCAAACCTATTTGTCGCTGACAGATATGTTTCTTTGTACACAGGTTGGAGCAGCAGAGGTCGGAACAGCAGGAACGGGAACGACAGGAGAGAGAAAGACAAGAGCGGGAGCGGCAGGAAAGAGAGAGACAGGACAGAGAAAGACAAGCGGCTGCAGGTCAGGAAACACCTGGGCTGGTCAACATAACTGCACTTAACTACAATACAGTCCAGCTTAACAGTTCCTCATATGTCACTGAGTCCTTTTTGTTTGTCTTTTTTCTTAAGGTACGCACACGGTGTGTGAGAAATAAAATGTTGTCAAAATCTGTTGGACTGTATGATAAAACTTTTCAGACAAGTCAGATGATTCATGGTGCTATGATGTAAATAGAATAAATGTATATGCAACAACCAAACACAAGCCTGGAGCGTTAAGTGTTTTGGATTGGACCTCTGTTTTGGATTGTGAACCAAGTATTTCATCACCTTTTGCCTATGACTTTACTTTTGTGTGGGACCTATTCTTTCTAAGCTACATGACAGTGCACCTGCATCACACTGACACTGATGGTGTCTATCTTTTTTTTCTTCTTTTTTTCTTTTTTTTTTTTTAGTCCCTATTCCTCCAGCTCCACCGTTGGCCCCTGGAGGCCCTGCTCCACCACCGGCCCCTCCTCCACCCCCTGGGCTGCCTCCAGCCGCTGGCATCCCTCCGCCACCAGGACCACCCCCCTCCGGACCTCCGCCAGCCCCGCCCCTGCCAGCTGCAGGAGGAGGAGGTGGCCTTGGTGGTGGGGGAATTGGAGGTGGTGGGGGATTGGCAGCTGCCCTAGCAGGAGCTAAACTCCGCAAAACATCTAAGGTGTGTATGTAACAAAACCTCTGATAGCCCTGTGACCTTGTTGCTGCTTTTAGAGTCAAGTTTAAGATAATGTACAACCATTGAATCCATTATGTGCTTTCCTAATTATGCAAATGGTGTTCTGCTGCTGTACTGATACAATAGTTGTCCCTACATGAGGGAGCTATTATACCTGCAGTCGTGCGTCCGTGTCTATTGAGTCACCATGCCCACAGTGTCTGCCTGACTCTTTTTTGCTATTTGCTGCCCTCAGCAGGAGGACACAGGCTCTGCAGCTCCAATAGGCAGAGGTGACCCCAGCCGCAGCAGCAACTCCTCTATTGGAGGAGGAGGAGGAGGGGGAGGTGGAGGCGGTCTGATGGGTGAGATGAGTGCCATCTTGGCACGAAGGTGGGTAACACCACAAGTTTTCAGTCACATAAAATATCCATTGCACACATTCTAAAAATAGACAATGAGGGTTACTGTATTCCATCTTTCATAGTGTTTATGTTTATGTTTATGTTTTAATTTTCTCATATATCCCATTTCTCCTTTGACGAATAATCATATTTAAAATTCATAATATTCTGTGAATAACTAACTCTTCAAACTGGTCTATTCAACTGTACATGACAGTATAAGTTAAGCTGATCCTTTTTTATACCAGGAGGAAAGCTGCAGACACTGGAGAGAAGCCACCTGTGAAGCCACAAGATAATGTAAGAGTCTGCTTTTAGTCACAATATTAAAAAATAAATAAATAAAAATCCTAAACAAATAATCTGTTTATATATGGTACAAAACACTGTAGATGATGGATAGTTTAAAGTATAGACACATTTTGAGGGTGACTCACACTTAACAGATGGTCTCGCTCTTTCTTCACAGGATGATTCAGAGCCTCAAGGTCAAAGCGGTGAGAAGTGAACACTTTCATCTGTGGCATGCCACCTACATTCATCCAGATATTCATTTTACATAATCTACAAATGAATGTTAATAACTCGTGTTTTTATGCATCCTCCCTCTCAGACACCCTGAGAAGACCTTGGGAAAAATCGTCTATGACCAGGTAATCCTGCATTCACTTATTTCTGTGCCGCCATCGTCAGTAAATCTGTAACCCCCTGGTGTTTGGCGTCTCATGTTTGAACTCATCCTAAGAGTAGTTCTCCATCAGTGTGTGTGAGTGTGTGAGCTTTTGTGAACACGTATGCTTGTGGACAAATGTGCTTTTTGTGTGTGACTGTCTTCCATTTCCATTCTAAGAGCAGAGTGTGTGTGTCTCACTAACAGGAATAACTCCATCGCCAAGAACATGGACTCCACTCCCTCATTGTCCCAAGGTTCCAGGTATACATGCTGTCCCGTTCACTCGTGACCTTAGTTCCCCTTGCTCTTCTTTTCTCTTCAGTTTAGCGCAGCATTACTGCAATCTACGTACTGAGGTAGCATATGTTACAGTTGATGGCACCCTCTAATGGATCACAGAATGGCATGCACCTGAGGGACTTGCAGGTGTACTAGCTGAGTGTTATCTCTGAAAACTGAATAAGAAGATAAACCTGACAGTGTGATTAATGTTTATTTTTACATGTCACTTCTGAGTGCTGGAGTTGGTGCTGTCCTCTTGTGGTAAACATTCAGATGGCTTAGTTTGTCTTGTCTATATATTGTAGTTGAGACATGTGGTGGTTAAAAGGTGGATAAGCTCAACTGGTGGATATATGTCTGCAAATATGCCAGCTAGGTTTATTTTAATCTATACCAGTGGTATAGATTGGAATTGAAATTGAATTGAAAGGTGGGTTAATGGGCTTAGATACGGCAACCCTCATTGCATCTCTGGGTGTGTGTACATTTCTGTACCTTTCTCTTCACTGTTCCTTCAACCCTCTGCTACCATTGTGATGAGCTTGATTGACAGTTGCCCGTTCAACGCAATCCCATGGACCTTCTTGGCTTTTTATGGACCACAGAAACATAAAATAATTGTCTATATTTGTCTGTCTTGTTGTCTTCTTACAGGGTGAAGCCAGCGAGCAACAGTAATGATGCAGGTGGAATGGATGACTCAGATTTAGAGAAAATGAAACAGGTGAATTTCTCATCAATGCAAAAGAGCTGAACCTGAATGAGGGCGATTACATGCACACCCACACCAGGAAAAAAAACATTAAGACCAGTGCAGTGCTTGCTCTTTCAGTAGAGTTAAAATAAGAAAGCAATGCTTCCAAAATAAGGTCGGGGGAAGGGAGATATCTCATTACCCACCTGCTGCTGTATGCTGATGTATACACAGATTTACAGAAAGCAGGTTACTGCAGTGTATGTAAACACATTCTTCAATAACCAGCGTAACCTGGTTTCTATGAGTAACCTGGTTGCTAAAGTACATGTAAGCACACCAAGTGTTAAAAGTACCATGTCACCATGACTAACATCGTTTTCCAATCAATGTTTCTGCAGGAGATCCTCGAGGAGGTGCGGAAAGAACTACAAAAAGTCAAGGAGGAAATTATTGGAGGTGAGATTATGTACCCTTAAAATAATTTTTTAAAATTTAATTTTGCTTCAATATACAGTACTTCAACTTATAATTGTTTGTGTCTCCTCTCTTCTTTCACAGCCTTTATTCAGGAGCTGCAAAAGAGAAGCACATAGTTCTGCTGAGTGTCAGGTGTAATGGAGGGATGTGATAGATGGAGGTGGCTGAGGCCCGTTGGGACTGCTCCTCCACTGCACCCTCCCATGTAGCCCAGGGATTTCTCTTTTTCACCTACACATTTTCTCTTTATCTCTCTCTTTCTCTTACACAAACACACATGAGCATACTTGCTTATGTGTACAACATGCATATTCACTTCATGTAAATGGTAACCCAGGGAACCTCCTCACGTCGCCATCTGGCACTTTTGATGATCACTCACTAATATTGCAGCGGTGATCCCATCTATCCCATCTCTCCCCTGTTCATTCATCCCGTCCCCTCGTGTCCTCTATGTGCTCTATTCATCGGAACAAATTCAGAGCACATAGCTACAGCCACAGTTGCTCTTCCAGTTCGTCATTGTGTAGACTCATCATAACCCTCTTTTCTGCAGAAATCCTGCTACTTGTGTCTTCTCCCTTCTGCTATCAGACACACCATTTACTGATAGAGCAGTCTTCAGTATTCAGGGACAACTTATCAAATTTTTTACTGTAATAGCAAGATGCTGGCATGCTGGGATCCTTGTTTCTCTTGTTCTCAGTTGACAAATTATTGTTCAACCTCAAACACTGCTACAGATGGTTCAGCTCAGACATCCTCTAGCAGTTTATTGCCTCTGATGGTAGTTAGAGGGTGGAGTAAACAACAATAATCGAGGATGGATCAGAAGCCCCACCTCCCTGACTACTGCAGTGTCTCTCCATCAAGTGGACTTTGAGCTCCCGGCAATGGCTAAGAACCAAAACAGCACAACACAAGCCTTCACTGCTGCAAGATAGAGAAGTTAGAGGAAGAGGAGACAAGCAGAGGGAATCTGATGGACAACCTGAGTGCTGTGAAAGAGGAGTGCGTTGTAGTTTTATGATGTGTGAGAAATTTATTCTCTGCATTGCACTTGTTCCAGAGGAAGTGTGTCTGCGTGCCACACTGCCTTGACAGACTATTCCCTCTAACTCAAAATGAGATATTATTTGTTGGCCAGTGCAGTGGTCCCACACTGTGCTTCAGCTAGTCATTTTCTTCCATTCTAGCTATGTTTTCTAACTTTGAAACATGAAAATTGGCCGTGATGAGGTCAATTAATTTGGCCATGACCAACTGCCTTGAGGATAAATATATAGATACATAGATATATATATATATATATACACATATATATATATAAGGAAAAAAATATATTTGTTTTGAGGGAAAATGTTAGCAAAAATGAAAAGGTGTTTCTATTTTAATTGAAGTGACTGGTGAATGGGGATTTTGTTTTCCTTTTTTTTTTTTTTTTTTTCAATGATTGTTTTCTTATGAAATGTTATTTTGGGTTTACTGTTTCTTTTTTCTATTAGAATCTAGGCTTTTTACACTGAAATATTAAGAAAACAGCTTAGAGACACTGGATTAGAAATGCCTTTATAGTCGAATACAGCTGCTTCTTGAAATGCATCACTTTGTCTTGAGTCATCTTTTGTGTCCTGTTGTAAGATTTCTCTGAATTCTGAATTTTGAATTAAATTGGATTAACTGTGGGGTGTATCATGCAAACTTACAGACATTTGAGTTTGAGCTTTGTTTAGAAATGTAGTGAAATAGAAGAAAATATTACAATTGTTTAATTTTTAGAGATGTTTTCCACATTAGGTGGAAAATTTAAGCATATGTGGTTCATGACTGAATTGTACCTTCAACTGACTGCAGTCTTCACCATCATGTTAAATTAGACTTTATAATGGTATGGATTTTTGAAATTTTACCGTTTTTTGTAGGTATTTTCCAAATATTTGTTTGCTGAAGGGTTAATAGTTGGACTAAAGCTTTGAAAATATGCTGTCCGGGAATTTTTTTTTTTTAAAGGTAGTTTACTAATTTGTTACGGAACTGACGTACATGAGCGAATTATGAGTTGGTTTTATACAAATAGACTACACTCTGAAAAGAGCAGAAACGCAAATAAATTACATTATTTTGATTATATTTCAAAATAATAAAAAAAACTTGAAATTGATGATACTCATCCTAAACACACGGCCTGAGCCAGTGTCCTTCTAGAGCTCCCTGGATGCTTCCGGACTGGAAAGGCTCTGAGCCGTTTCCGCCGCCATTGCGGATTTTAGACAGAAGATCAGCCGTAGCCACTGCTATCCATCGATGCAGTGCAGAAAGCACACTCAGAAGGGGGGACACATTTTACATCTTTATTGATCCCAGCTTTCGGAAACACGATTGACAGCACTGCACACAACCTTTTTTTAATCGTGTTTTTCGTTTTCACTGACTGGCTCCGACCTACACGTACAGTGAGGAGGTCGTAGCTAGCGCGGTGCTACTGCCTAGCTAGCTAGCTGCACGGCTAGATATTCAGGACTCCGGAGAAGCTCAAGGAAACCGTCATGGCGCAAATCCTACCTATCCGCTTCCAGGAGCACCTGCAGGTATGTAGGCAAAGCCTAACAGCTATATGAACCACCAGCATTCTCATTTCGTGTTGATTTCCCTGCTTAACGGTCGTTTGACAGCGTGCTAGCTGAGCTAGACGTCAATACCCGCAGCAAATGAATGACCTCCCCTCCCCCGTTTAGCCAGTAGCTAACAGCTAGCTTTTGAGGCTAGCAGCTCATTCATTTCACTGATGCTGTTAGCCGACGTTAGCTGTCACCGACAACCAGGAGGAGAAACTGTTTAACATTAAACATTTTTGCTGACCTTCAGTGCTCAGTTATTGCGTTGTTGACATATGCATGGCCACATTCAGGGTTAGCTAATAGCAACGACTTTAGCTAGCTAATCGTGGCAGTTTGTGTGTCGTGAGGGATGTTGTAGGTACGTCGTTTAATCGTAGCTTTGTAAAACCTGGATCACATAAAAGATTAAGCAGCCATACTGTTATAAACACACCGACCCTGTGATGATGATGATGTGTCAACTGAGGTACTAAATCAAGTAGCTGCAGTATGACAGGACCCTGTGCCATTTCATATTACAGAGTAAGGTTTTATCACGATAGGCCATTTCTACAGTTGAAGGGTTATTCTGTCGTGCTTTCTAACCGAGATGTAATCACCTCAGCCAGCAATCCGAGATGAACCGGGTGGTGCACCCATTCTCTCAAAAATGGCATAATTGTTCCCATCTCATACATGTACATCATGTTTTTGTTTTTTTTAAAAACACCTGGGACCGGATTAGAGTCCAGTCGAGTTCAAGCTCAGCTGTTACATCAAATCTCAGCTTCTGACTGTATTAGATGTGCTTAGTCTTCTCGCTTAATACTACATTCAGGATGAAACCCCATAGGAAGCAGTTCTTATACCATGACCATGCACCTTGGATGACCTTTTGCTAAGGGACAGTAGACACTCAGTTGCAAGTTTAATAGATACATATACCTAAAACAATACATTTAATACCATGGTCCTGAAAAAAATCTGTGTTTTAGAGAGGTGTTGATTAAGCTTTATGGTCGTTTTTGAGGTTGCAATTTGTGGTTCTGTTGAACTGTTTTGCATTATACAGCAATATTCAGTTATGTAGCCCTTGATATAAATGGGATGGACAAAATAATAGAGACACTGTTGGTATAATGCAGCACAGTTTCACAGCATCACAAACTGTTGCCTCCAAAATGATCAACACTTTTCTAAAAGAGTTTCAACAAAAACTGAATTTAACAACTTTTATGAAGGCATATTTGCTATTATTGTCTTTACAAAAGGAACCACAGTGGAAATACGTTTTTTACTTTATTGTATCATCTTTGGCAATTCTTGTAGTAAACAATTTTGGCCAGTAGCTGCTACTAAAACAGATCATGCATTCATATCTCAGCTCCAGAACCTGGGAATCAACCCAGCCAACATTGGATTCAGTACTCTGACGATGGAGTCCGACAAGTTCATCTGTATAAGGGAGAAAGTGGGTGAGCAGGCCCAGGTTGTCATCATAGATATGGCAGACCCCAACAATCCCATCCGCAGGCCCATCTCTGCAGACAGCGCCATCATGAATCCTGCCAGCAAAGTTATCGCCCTTAAAGGTAAGCTCTAGCTAAAATGCATCTTTAGCGCTGTTAGCACATAGATTTATGTGCCACGTAGAGGGGAGTGTGTTAGGTTTTTTTTTTTTTTTAAAGCACATAGACAAAAAAATAAGAGTTTTAAGTCTTGGTCGGTCACATACTTTGCTATGGTGCTTTTCAAGTACATTTGACAATTTGTGTAAATTTTGTTTGTGTTGTCAGTCGGTTATGTAGCTGTCACAGTCTGCTTTTCATTTTAATGTTCATATGTAGACCACCCCATTTCTGTTTGTCAAAAAAATGAGTTACTAAAATAAAGTAAAACACATTTAAATGTACAAGACATTGTAATTTTTGGAAAAGTAGATGTAGTCCCAGTGTTAGTAAAATGTCATGCTGTCATGAATGCTTTGTCTATTTTGCTTGTTTTTGCTCTTTTTTCATTTCTTACTGCTTTCTTATGTTTGCAGACGGTGAGTTGAATTTTACATATCATGAGTTGTCAAAGTGTAATCCTGTATGCACTGTCTTGAAATGTGTGCACAGTACCGATAGTAATTTTAATGAGTGCTTGAATTGACTATGATAACATAAGCAGGCCATAGCAAAAAGAGGGCAGCTTAAAAGACTATCTTTTTTTCTTTTGTGTATATGTTTGTCCCATTTGCTACACTGTACATATATGTTATATCACAGCTAACCATTTTCTAAAACATACTGTAATTCATATTTTTGAATGCTGTACTTAACTTCAGTACAGTATGAAAATTAGCACATAAAGACTTCAAAGTAGTTTTAGATAATTTAGTTTAGGTAATTAATTGTTACAAACAGCCTGCCCGTGTGGGTTTTTGTCCAACTAACATTATCATTGTGTGGTAATCATAGACTTTATGTCAATGGTTGCAGTATGGTTGAATGAAAACACTGACTTGGTGTTGAAAACATTCTAGGAGTTCAAATAGCAAACCGTAAGTCAAACGTATGTAATGTGATAAGGACATGAAGATGTAAATCTGACTCTTTCTTCATTACCAAAAACATGGCAACATTCAACAAGGCAGTTCCTGTGACAGTTTTTCTTCAGTCATTCACAACCTGAGGGCACCCACATAACATCTGCCATCATCTCTGCCAGAAAATTGTCTTTGAAGAAAAAAAACACAAACCCTAGAATAAATGGAAAATCAGGTGAATATTCAGAAATGTTACAGAGTATTATGTCCCTTGGAAAATGGTTGGTAGTAATGTATAGTACATAAGTATGTAGTAAGAGGGCTAAAACATGCAGAAAAGATGATATGGTTAAGTGGTTTAAATATGGTTTAAACAGCGGGAAAATTAAGCAAGCAGTGACATGTCTTAAATAAAAAGGCTATTATGTATTGCCTGTCCTATGGACACGTTCATATGATGTTTAGACCTAATTTAGTGGTTTGTGATGTTATAATCAAATATATTCTCAATATTTATATGTATCAAATATGTCAGTTGTAGATACTTTTGTTTCTCTACTACTTTTAAGTATATCCTAATCTCACCTTGGGCTGGCAGATAAAAGAAATGCCAGCGATGTGATATATTTAGGATATATACTGTATATCCTATGCCAAATTTTCCATGTAGCATTTAAGATTTTGCCAATTTGGCGCCCCAGTGGTACATTAAAAAACAACACTATGTCATGTAGTAAAGAATAGAATAAAAATACTGGGAGAAGCAGAGATACTGATAATATATACATGAAACTTATACACATTTATCACCATTGTGTATGCAACTAGAGTTGCATTGTCAAGTTTATGAGAACAATGATGATCATGGATTAACCTGTGACACTAGTTATGTAGATCAAATGAATGTGCTACTGAATATACAGGGACAATTTTGGCTGGCCAGCCCCAGGACACTGCAGAGATCAAAGTCAAATATGGTGCTTTCAGTTACCTTTCCTATGTTTAGACGACACAAGTAGGTTTATTCTTATCAAGCAAATACTGACATTGCTTACTGGTTTTCTTTATGTATGGGTTTTCATACTAACGGACTGTTATTCTACATCATGTATTGTGAGTGGGTCTACTGACCATTCACATTATGCCAGAGGATTAGCCTTAAGTGGCTTATAAAACTTGTGCTTTAACTTCAGTGGTGAATAACTGCAGTTTAAAATGTTGTATAAACAGACAAACTTATTAAACGACAAAATCTGCATTATTGCAGTATTCTTTTCTTACCAATTTACTATATATTTTTCTCTAATTAGTTTTTAAAATTTTCATCTCTTCTCATCATTTATTTTATGTAGACAGTGTATTTTTCAGTGTACTATCGACACAGTCTTACCAAAGCATTTATCACTATACCTCACAATTTTGGGTTTTAGCCATTTGTCATTCATATGCTGTGCTAATTATGAATCACAGTTAATCATAGGGTTTAGTTTGGTTTAGGCTTGTTTGGCCCGATTGAGTCTAAGATATCTGTCTTGGGCCCAAAGAATTGGAGTGGCTTTCCTCCAGTGAGACTGAACT